TTTCTTTTATTAATTTAAATACAATTAAAAAATTTTCAATATTTTTAATAATAACAACTTAAATATTAAATCAACTCTATTTAAATATTGCAGAAATTACTTAAACAGGCATCATTTCATATAAAAAATAAGACTAATTAGAAACAGAATTCTGATGAATGAGAATTAAAAAGCAGTAAAAAATTAATCTAGATTTAACTTCGTTTTATCTGAATCTAAGATTTAGTATAAATAGTTAGAGGCTGATTAGCATCTAAGATATTCATATTCTTTTTTAAATATTTAAAGAATGTCAATACAGATTTAAATTTAAACAAGGATTATACAGAAATGGTAGAGGTATTAAAATTTCACGAATTTGAACATACTATCATTTTAAACAAAAAATAATTAATAATATAGAATAATTTTATTATTTTATGTGATCATGAGAATTCTAAATGGCTTTGAAAATTTTAAAATAAATAATATAAAACAATTGGATGAATTAGAAAGTTAAAACTAAAAGATCTTGTATATATATCTAATCAAAAAGAATTAAATAAATTAATAATCAATTTATTATATGCATAGTTTTGACTATATTATTCATAAAGTTTATTATTGTCTATCTTATTTTTTTTTTTTAATTATGACTAATAGAGATTCGCCATAACTAATATTATTTTATTTGAGAATAAAATCTCAATTTTGTAATTAGATAATAATAATGAAGAATAGAATTTTTTGTTTCTTCAAATGTAAAAAATGAATTATCATACTTTGGATAAATACTAAAATTATTTTAAATTTAGGATTAATTGTATGATCTTTGTTACTATCTTGAATCTTTCTGTCATAGAAATTTAAATTTATGTATCTCATTCATTTAAATTAAAAACTTTTTTGATCATAATTGAGTATTATCAATTAAAATAGACATAAAAATTTTATTTTTAAACTACATGATGGGTTTTTTTAATTTTATCTAAAACTACACAACTGAAATATATTGAGTCAATATTATTTAAGATAACAAAAAAAACTCTAAACTTAAACAAATTATAATTAAAAATCTCTAAAGTTTTAATAAAATATAATTTATCACTTTTAATTACTCAAATTAAAATTCAATTTAGTTTTGCTATTATCGCAGCTAGGATTTCTATCTTATAATTTTTTAGCATAAAAATACTAATATGATAATGAGGATAATAAGGTAGATACTATTAAATTTTGAATCTTGTATAATTATTAATTGTACAATTAACAAGAAGGCATTTTTATTACAATTCTACCTAAGCTTGAGATATTGTTTCAACTCTTGAGATTCCTAATTCATAATCTACTTCTCCCACAAAAAATTCATCAGTATAAAATAATAGAATAAATGATGTGTAGTATATTCAAAGAATTTACATTCTATTATGATTCCAATAAATATTGAATAATAAAAGGAAATTATATGTACGAGTAAAAAAATAAAATAAGAAGAAGTTCAATTTAATAAGCATCCAATAGTTCAATAAATTAGCTATTTAATTTTCTATAATATCCTCAATAAAAACATACTGTTTAAACTCATAAATTATTAAATCTCTATCAATCTAACGAGCTAAAAGTGTATCCAATTTTAGGTTTATTAATACTAGCATTTGAATTACCCAATATTATCCCTAAAATTCTTATTTTGTAGTTATGTATAAGTCATTGGTATTTTTAATAAACAGAATTTTATCAAATTCATAATAATTCATTAGTGATTTGATAGTTTAATTTATTATCAAGTATAGATACAGATATGAACTCCATTTTAAAACAATCAACTTACCAATTTAAACAAACCTTATCATGAAAAGCTAAATTTTTATTTGATTAAATAATAAATTTTTCATCTTGGATCAAATAATTATCTTTTATAAAAAATCTTCTAACGTTTAAATCATTCTAATTAGTTAAAAATAAAATTAATAAAAACTACTCATTTCCACAAAAAATATCTAGAAATATTCCATAATCTTTTTAAAATTTTTTCTTGATTAATTCATGATTTAAAAAAACTTGTATACCTGATTCAAAATGCAAAACATAGATTTTTTTTTATTCTATTATTAGCTTTCATTATTAGTTTATTAGAGAAATATAGTTTTAATTTTGATATTATAATTTTTTCTTTTTTCTTATAGTAAAAAAGGCCCATTGATTAATTAATGTATTATCATTTTATAATGAAAATAAGTTATATATTTGCCCTAAAAACAATTAATCTAGTTTGATTCTTAATTAGTTGCTCTTTTTCAGCTTAAGCTGTATTTAATTTTAAATAGTAAATAATTGATAGCATAAATTAACTTTAATTAAGTAAAATGATATCATCATATTAGATTCATTTGGATCAAACGGAATAATTTGTATCTCTATAGAGGATCATTTAGTTAGGAATAAGATTTATAGATTCACCGAAAAATATTGAATATTATAAAATCTAAAATTTGAAAATTTATCAAAATAATACAGGTAATGGTTTTCTAAAAGAAATTTTTATGAACTTTTCTCTATAATTTTAATTAATTTTAAATTCTTTTTCTTAAATATTGCAAAAGTTAGCCAAAATTACTTCTCTGGTATATTTGCTGCAATAATTAAATAGTTTTAATTTATTGAGTACAATAAAATACTTTTCTAATCCATATTTAAATGGTCTTAAAGTTTTTGCATTAGCAACAGTATATTAATATAACAATATTATAGAGGACTTTTTAAAAATTATAATTCTTCAAAATTTAAATAATATATTTATAAAATATCTTCAATTTAATGTAAAGTTGAAAAAAACTTGCTAATCAATAATGCTAAAAGTTGATAAACATCAAATATAATTTCTTATTTAAATTATTTTAACATTTTTCAATATATAATATATGTATTTCTCATTTTTTATTATTATCAAATGCTCAAAACATAAAAAGAAGTGTATAGACCCTAAAATAAAAAAAGACTTAATCTTTATATTTTACCTATTAACAAAAATGATAGAGCTTCGTTTAAAAAATTGTTTAAAGTTCCAGAAAGTTCCTAATTTTTTTATAATTTAATATCGATAAGAAGATATTTAGAGTTTTCTTTAATTAATTTTAAGCAGAATTATTGGAATTAAACAATATTCTTTATTTGCTCATTTAACTCAACGTTTATTTAATTTATTTTGTTGTTTTAATATTAGATTAACTTCATCTAGTTTTGCTCTTTTCGTTTAATAATAAAATATTTTTTTAATGAATGAATACCTATTTTTAATTAATAGAAAATTTATATTTTTAACCATTATTGCAATTTAAAAAGAAAATTTAATTTGTGTTTTTTAATAGGATGATATTTTAGATTGAATCATCATGCAAGATTATTAATTTTTCTTGAACTAGATTCTTATTGTTTATGAATTTATACAATAAACTAAAATTAAATTAATAAGATATATTAGAAAATGGAAAAAAAGATTTATACTATTGATTTCATACTTTGAGTGATTGCTTATTTTAATTTGATATTCCATAGGAAGTAGCTAAGTTTTTTTTTTACTAAAATATTATTGTTAATCTGACATATATTATTGAATTTTGAAAAATTTATTTAACTAATTGAAGAAAATGATTTTCTTTCTATTTAGTAGCATCTTTCAGGGAAAGCATAAAAAGTTTATCCAAAACTAAATTAGAATAATTATAATTATTGTTTTCTTATTCATTAAATAAATAAAGATATGACTATTATTTGATATCCTTTTAAATGCCTAAATTGAAAAAAGTCTAAAATAATAAAAACTTTTACTAACTTATTAAGAATGCGTAATTTTAGATATATAAATATGAAACAGTTATTTAAATGATTCTATTCTTAAATTTATAGTATTTTGGAACTCATAAGAATTAGAATCCACAAAAAATAATCAATTTCTAACAGACCATAATTCCAAACATTATTAAGATTCTACTGTAAATTAATTCTATCCAAATATAAAGAATAATTTAATATATCAATAGGTATTGAAACCCAAAGTGATAAATAAATTCTTGGAATTCAAAATTTGTTAGTCTATGGCAAATATTGCTTACCCACTTACAAAACCTGTTGAAGTTCTATAAGCTATGATATGTGCAATGATGGGACTCCATTAGGGGGATCTTGTAGTTGCAACCTTTATTAATTTGCTAGACTGGAATTTAATGTAGATTGGAATGCGCAAGAGATTATATTTTCGTAAAAGATAGAAGAATTAAATCAAATATTTCATATTTCGAATCTACAACTTTCAGCGATCATACTCCCTTTTAATTTGTTCAAGACTCTTTTAATAAAATGCTTTCCATCACATGTTCCTCTAATAACTATGTAGAAAGCTTAATTTTTACTGAGAGGATGAGTTTATAATTTGCAAATAACTAATCTTTAAAATTTATCAGACTCAGGATCACTTTCTACCTACAGGAATTTTTGACTGATAATGAAATTTAAATATTGCTGGACGACTACATATAAGGTGAAATAATCAAAGCTACTACTTTTAATAAAGTAACAACAATTAAAAGTTCCCTAAAATCATTTTTAAAGTAGCATAATTAACCTATGCAATTACGATATAGAGACTCAGAAATAACACAATTTATAGTGGTAATAGTCAAGAAAATTGTACAATCTGTGATTTTTCAACATGTCAACAATGTAACACTGGTTATGTAAAGTGGTTTTGTCTATGCTTGTCCTGTGCATTCTGTTAATATTGTTGATTATGCTGATATAGTACCAATAGTAATTTAAATTTCTTAAAATATTTTACAATATGATACCAAGTAATTTAAATAAAAATTAATTTTAGACTCCCGTTATTTAGCAAAAGCATTTTATAATTTTATATGAGTACTTCAGATATAAATTAATACTTTGATCAAAATACTCTAACTGGTAATAATTTCTTGAGAGGATAAAAATTTTCGATATTTCCATCCAAATTTGCTTTAGATGATATGGAATAATGCAATAGATAAAAAATCATGGATTATATCCAAAGCTCACTATGCGGTTACTATTTGATTTAATTTTACATATGGAGATGAATATAATGGAAATTTTTATTACACAATTTTAAGAGTAAAATCAATAGCACGTCAAAAACCATCATCATTGGGTTATAGAAAATTGATTAATTCAAGTACAAGCTGACAATGAATAAATAATGAATTTAAAAATTTTACAACCATATAAAACTTTATTAGTACTGAATCCGTAATTTTCAAATATTATTCTTATTATAAGAATTGATTAACAAGGAAGTAGAAATATTTTTATTATGAATCTAATTCTTATTTTGGGCTGTTTAGTTTAAGCCTTTTTAAATTTTCAGAATCTTATTTTATATTTCAAATATCTCAAAGTTAATTAATTATACAGAAGCACAATCAATATTGCTAAAGAAGCAATTATTAATAGTTTTGATTTATTTAATCAATTTAAGCCCTTAAAATCTGTATGTAAAGTTTCAAGACTAATATGCAAATAATTTTTACTTATGATTACAATAATTACATTCTTATTTTATAGTTTTTAATTTAGTTAAGAAAATAACATTATGATTGGCTGGATTCATATTGGGATGTTTTGTACAATTTTGGCATCCAATTTATTGATAGACTTGCTAGGATAAAAAAGCAAAAAAAAGAAGATTGAAGAAGAAAAAAAAGCATCAATTTAACCATTTTTGAGGATTTTAAGTAAATTGAAAGGATAATTATCAATATTATAAATGAGAATTCCTTTCTTCCAATCTTATTATATTCATAACACCTAATAGGACTCATCATTAAATGGTCCATCAGCTTCACTTCGTACATTATATTCTAATTTATTTATGTTTTCACAATATTGATTCTATAATATCTGATTGAATTCAGTTGCAAAAATTTAGTTTAATTTATTCATAACATTTTTATCTAATTATAAATAAATTTTTTAATTCAATCTGTTGTTTAGTTTAATTATTTATTAAAATTATACTCAAATTCATATAAATACTTATTCTATGCTGTATATAAGCTTATAAAATAAACTTAAATTAATTAAGCTTGCATCTGAATTATTTAGTAAATCAATTTTGTATTTTACTCCCTATATATGCTATGGTTTGATTTATAATAAATAAATGTGTATAAATCAGTAAGGAAGAATTCAAAGTTTATTTTTCATTTCCTTACAATTTTCATTCACTTCCATAAAACACTAGAGCAATTGAATCATATAAAATAAATAATTTAATAAAGTTAATAAAAATTTGATAAAATCAATTAAAACCTTATTTTTTTAATTTTTATTTTAATTAATTATTTATTTGTTACTTATTTAATTGATTGATTCCAAAAATATATTCTTATTGGGGTTTTTGTGCACCTAAAATAGTGGGATGAATTATCAGATTTATTAATATTACATTGTATATATTGATCTAAACTAATTTTTTGTGAAATGCAACTTTAACTTAGCTAAATTCCTATATTTCTATCAATCTTCTGATAAAAAAAGTTAAATAAGTGAACATACTACTTGATCAATTGAGAATAGCTCAGTAATTGAAAATATTAATTATTAGATTATGTTTAGTGCATTTAAATAAGAATTCTATTTAAATGATTTTCAAAATAAAATCAATTCTAATTAAAATTATGATAATTGTTGAGAATATAATATGTAAATGGTTATAATATCATTTTGAAGTTTCAAAAATTATTATAGAATCCAGATTCATCAATATCTGAGTTGCTAGAATAATGAAATTCTTTTTTATAATAACTCTGAATAGGTTTCAAGCAGAAATACATTTTTCAAATAAAGTATAAATTTGATATTCGAATTGAATAAATTATTAAATTTTTTGTAAAAAAGCCAATTTATCTGACAGCAGATCTAAGATCTAAGAATATTTAAACTCTCCTTAAATTTTTATAATATAGCTAAAAGGTTTAGAATTTAATCTTTAATCTAAATCGAAATTAATCAAAATTGAGATTTTAGTTTTCATGATTTTGAAACTTGTTTTATACCTTATACTCAATTGATAATTCACTTTATATAACAATGTTGCCGAAAATACAGCTGTAAATTCCTGATAGAACCTGGAGATACAAGGAATTTTTCTTTCACAGAGATATATGAAAAATTTCATGGCTCTAGGAAGCGAGTTCACAACTGTAAATGGAATACGGAGATGTCTATTTATTGAGAAGGATTTGATGTAAAACAGATTATTTCAAAATTAACCACATCAAACCATAACTTTATTCATAGCTTAATCAGAAACATAAATTGATCTTTATTCTTTTTATCATATTTGTTCAATGCCCTGTGTATCGTATCTATCAAACATGTATTGCAATTGGTGAAGTTGTTGATGCTCAAAAATATCTTAAGAATCCAAAAATATGAAAATTTAAATCAGTATGAATTTAATTTAATGTTAACTTTTTGCTTAAATAAAAATGCGCAATTGTCTTAAAGTTTTATTAGATAACAGTTTAAGAAAGGATTTTATATTAACAAGTATCTTAAAAAGTCGAGGAGTTTGTTTTAAAATCTTCTCATCAATGGGAAATTGTTGAGATATTGTGAGATAAATAACTGGCAAATAAAGTTAGCTAAGCTACTCCTGCCTAATATTCTTTTTGGCTTAATCATTTAATAATAAATCTAAAATTTCATATAATTTGGATTTATTGCCAAACAACATCTAGTAAAAAATTGTTTAAAAATACTATCTGAATCATAAAATAATAGAAATCCTTTCTTTTTCTTATTTTATTTTACAAAAAATAGATATTTTTATTAAATTTGACTTACTGCTTAGCAAGTTTTAACTCAAACCTATTTTTGCTATGCATCTATTTCAATTCCATTTATATTATATTTACCAATATAAGTATTTTGTTTAATACTACCCACTCTCCAATTTTGCTTCCAAAAGAATCATCATATGATTCATCACCTCTAATATTTACATTTATTAATATTCCTTTACATAATTATCACAAAACATAACATCCCGTCTACCTACCTTCATAATCTTTTTATTATTTTTGCCATTATAAATAACTTGAGAATCATAACAATAATTTTGGTTCAACTTAGTCCAATTTCCTTTGTTTAATCTTTCTTTATTTTTAATCCAACTAATTTATTCTTAAAAATGAGTTGATCTTTTTATTTTTGTAGCATCATTACTTACTTATTATAAGAAATTAGGATACTTTAATCCATTCAAATAATATGATAATTTACTTATTTTTTTCTCTATCCACCAGCATTTTTAATGACATTACTTTTCCATGATCTTTTCCACTTCCCATATTTTTGATTCTCTAGTCCACATTGAGTGAAGATAAAATCTATTCAATGTGGATATTTGAAAATATCTGAGACTTATCCACTTTTTGGATTAATAGTCAATTTCACGTTCTCATCCCTCTTAATTTTGTAATCTTTGTAAATATGATTTATATTTTAATCTTCTGAAATTTTTAAACAGACTAACATTATCTAGTGACTTCTTAACAAATGAATGGCTCTTAGTGAATTATTTTGATTAGAAATTTCATTTAATTTTTTTTCTATTTTGAACATAAGAAAAAAAATAAACAATTTTGATTATTATTTAAACAATCAAAAAGAAATTTAAACTTTTAAGGCTAACTATTTAACATAAAATTTAAAGCCTCATGAACTTTTTCCAAATCCACGTCTTACTAAATAATATTATCCAATATACTCTTGATTTTCTATGGATGAAATATATCATTTTTTTATTTGATGAATAAGATCCTCAAGTTGCAATAATAATTTAATCTCACTTTATTTCTTTTTATCATACCTTAAATTTATTATTATTTAAAGCTTTGAAAATTTAATTTGTTAAGAAGGACGCAATCATATTCATATTTAGGGAGTCGGTATTAAAAATTTTAGAGTGAAGCAATATTTTTCAGAATTTCTATAACTAAAATAAGTGCTTATAAAAATAGCCCACAAGTAGCAGAATTTCAATAAAATATGATCTTCTTAATTATTCTTCTTGGATATATGTAGATACCAATGAATTTAGAAAGTCTATTATTTAATGTACTTACATAAATTCATCTAATTATTTATATGTAAGAATTTATCGTTAATTATTTTATGTATATATGTAGATAGATGGCAAATAATTTCAAAATTTAATTTTCTTAGAGCAATCTAATTGTAAAATTGAATAGTTTATTATTTATTCTATCTGAAGTAAAATTGTAAAATTTAAATCATATTATTTCTTCGATAGAATATTTTTGGCTTTCAGATATTAATAAACAATAATATTTTATTAAAAAACACGATAAATACTTTAGATTTTGTTATTTCACTTGTTTATTAAAATTAATATAAATATAATTAAATAAAAAATAATGAATGGCTTTTTGAATGTGNATACTACCCACTCTTCCAAAAGAATCATCATATGATCCATCACCTCTAATATTTACATTTATTAATATTCCTTTACATAATTATCACAAAACATAACATCCCGTCTACCTACCTTCATAATCTTTTTATTATATTGCCATTATAAATAACTTGAGAATCATAACAAAAATTTTGGTTCAACCTAGTCCAATTTCCTTTCTTTAATCTTTCTTTATTTTTAATCCAACTAATTTATTCTTAAAAATGAGTTGATCTTTTTATTTTTGTAGCATCATTACTTACTTAGAATTATAAATTAGGAGACTTTAATCCATTCAAATAATATGATAATTTACTTATTTTTTTCTCTATCCACCAACATTTTTTATGACATGACTTTTCCATGATCCATTCCACTTACCATATTTTTGACTCTCTAGTCCACATTGAGTGAAGATGTAAAATCTATTCAATGTGGATATTTGAAAATATTTGAGACTTATCCACTTTTTGGGTTAATAGTCAATTTCACGTTCTCATCCCTCTTAATTTTGTAATCTTTGTAAATATGATTTATATTTTAATCTTCTGAAATTTTTAAACAGACTAAAATTATCTAATGACTTCTTAAAAATGAATGGCTTCTAAGTGAATTATTTTGATTAGAAATTTCATTTAATTTTTTTTCTATTTTGAACATAAGAAAAAAAATAAACAATTTTGATTATTATTTAAACAATCAAAAAGAAATTTAAACTTTTAAGGCTAATTATTTGACATAAAATTTAAAGCCTCGTGAAACTTTTTCCAAATCCACGTCTTGCTAAATAATAATATCCAATATACTCTTGATTTTCTATGGATGAAATATATCATTCTTTTATTTGATGAATAAGATCCTCAAGTTGTAATAATAATTTAATCTCACTTTATTTCTTTTTATAATACCTTAAATTTATTATTATTTTAAAGCTTTGAAAATTTAATTTGTTAAGGAGGACTCATATATATTTATATTTAGGGAGTCGGTATTAAAAATTTCAGAGTGAAGCAATATTTTTCAGAATTTCTATCGCTAAATTATTCTTCTTGGATATAGGTAGATACCAATGAATTTAGAAAGTCTATTATTTATTGTACTTACATAAATTCATCTAATTATTTATATGTAAGAATTTATTGTTAATTATTCTATGTATATATGTAGATAGATGGCAAATAATTTCAAAATTTTATTTTCTTAGAGCAATCTAATTGTAAAATTGAATAGTTTATTATTTATGCTATCTGAGGTAAAATTGTAAAATTTAAATCATATTATTTCTTCAATAGAATATTTGTGGCTTTCAGATATTAATAAACAATAATATTTTATTAAAAAACATGATAAATACTTTAGATTTTGTTATTTCACTTGTTTATTAAAATTAATATAAATATAATTAAATAAAAAATAATGAATGGCTTTTTGAATGTGTTTACAAAATTGGATGGATTCTTTATTTCTTTCAGCCCCTCATTTGGGTTGACAGAATAAAAAATATTTTATAAATCAGTTTGGGGTGGAATGGCAACTATAATAATCTTAACATTTGTATTTGTTTACTCAATAAATTAATTCATCATATGGGGATCGGGTGATATGATCTATAAAGTTTCTACATAATAAAAATTTATAAGTGAAGGAAGTTATTTAGAATAAGTTTTCTTAAAAAGCGATCCTCACTAATTTGTTGATATAGAATTTGATAGCTCGATAAATCCATTTGATAGCAATTAAATGATTATTATCCCATTACTTTATATCTATAATCAAGAATCGATCTATCAGTTAGATTATTCAGAAGATGGATAATTTAGAACTCTAAATGTGGATTTGAATAATTTACTTGATAATGCTTTTACAGTAGTTTTAGTTAAATGCATAGGTAATGAATAGTATATATCTGAAACTTAAAAATGTGCAAGCTAATAATAGAGTGAGGAATTCTTTAATTAAAGCGGTTTGTTACCAATTATTACAATTTATAATGAAGAATTTGATTATTAAACAAAAACTTACTATTAACTTGAAACATATATTGAATTACCGATGGATCCAATTTTAACGAGTGAGATACAGATTTATACAAAATATGAAATAATGGAAATAAATTATGGATACTTATTTTAATCATCTGAAGAGTATATAATAAACAATGGATGTACTTCTTAAATTTACACTTATACTAAAGATTATTATAATAAATTTTCATAGAAAATTTTCGGTATTCAAGAAGTTATAGGTGTAGTTAGATTAGAAATGGATTCTTCAATTTTTTATGTTAGAAATTAATATCCAACCATAAGCGAAGTTTTGGCTAACATTGGTTCAATAATTTAAACAATATTATTGAGTAGATACTTTTTCTATGCTTTTAATAGAAACTAATTAAAATCTTATATGAAATCTTTGATATTGACTAACTATTATCCTGAATGGAAAGATATTAACAAAATCAAAAACAATTAAAAAAAAACTTGTGTCTTAGATGATAGGAACATAAATAATACAAGTGTTTAGAAATTTGAGAAAGAAGTTAATGAGATGTTAAATCTTAAATTTGACTTTATTAATTTAATATACGAAATAAATCAAATGTAAAAGATTTTATAATTAATTTCACCACCTGATATATTATTGAATATTCATTCAAATTAATCCAAATTATAATTTTTAGCGGATCAAGATTCAAATAATTTTAGTATTAAAAATACATGGTCTTCATTTAAGGATTATACAGATGCAATTTACTAAAACCATTTGGATCCATTTTTATTTAGTTTTCATTGGAAAACAAAGAATAAGAATAGTAGTTTTTATAAGATGTCGTCTGGCGAAAATAAATAAATATAAAAATAATATGAACCTACTTAAAAACAGGATAATGAAATTTAAGTTGATAATGAATTAAAATTTTAAGATATTAAAATTTGTACTGAGAATAATGATTAATTATCCATAATTGAATAGTAAAATTAGAAATGATTATTTTGTAATTTATTTAATATTCGATTTAATGATTTTTAATTTCAGACAGTTTAGCTCTATTAGAAAAAAATAGTTTAATAAAGACTTTTCTAAGATTGAAAAAGATATCTTAAAGAAGAAACTAACGCGTTTTGATAAATGTGAGACTGAACTTAAATAAAATATAAAAAAATAATTATATTCCAAGTATGGTTGGGGCTGGTTAAAGGTAGGTTTTCATTTTTGTGAAATTTGACAAATTCACTAAAATGAAAACCTATTTTTTATTAGAAAAATAAAAGTGAAGGCCAGGGTTGAGCCATTTTTCTTAAGGTTTTTGAGGTNAATAATAGAGTGAGGAATTCTTTAATTAAAGCGGTTTGTTACCAATTATTACAATTTATAATGAAGAATTTGATTATTAAACAAAAACTTACTATTAACTTGAAACATATATTGAATTACCGATGGATCCAATTTTAACGAGTGAGATACAGATTTATACAAAATATGAAATAATGGAAATAAATTATGGATACTTATTTTAATCATCTGAAGAGTATATAATAAACAATGGATGTACTTCTTAAATTTACACTTATACTAAAGATTATTATAATAAATTTTCATAGAAAATTTTCGGTATTCAAGAAGTTATAGGTGTAGTTAGATTAGAAATGGATTCTTCAATTTTTTATGTTAGAAATTAATATCCAACCATAAGCGAAGTTTTGGCTAACATTGGTTCAATAATTTAAACAATATTATTGAGTAGATACTTTTTCTATGCTTTTAATAGAAACTAATTAAAATCTTATATGAAATCTTTGATATTGACTAACTATTATCCTGAATGGAAAGATATTAACAAAATCAAAAACAATTAAAAAAAAACTTGTGTCTTAGATGATAGGAACATAAATAATACAAGTGTTTAGAAATTTGAGAAAGAAGTTAATGAGATGTTAAATCTTAAATTTGACTTTATTAATTTAATATACGAAATAAATCAAATGTAAAAGATTTTATAATTAATTTCACCACCTGATATATTATTGAATATTCATTCAAATTAATCCAAATTATAATTTTTAGCGGATCAAGATTCAAATAATTTTAGTATTAAAAATACATGGTCTTCATTTAAGGATTATACAGATGCAATTTACTAAAACCATTTGGATCCATTTTTATTTAGTTTTCATTGGAAAACAAAGAATAAGAATAGTAGTTTTTATAAGATGTCGTCTGGCGAAAATAAATAAATATAAAAATAATATGATCCTACTTAAAAACAGGATAATGAAATTTAAGTTGATAATTAATTAAAATTTTAAGATAACAAAATTTGTTTTGAGAATAATGATTAATTATTCATAATTGAATAGTAAAATTAGAAATGATTATTTTTTAATTTATTTAATATTATAATTTATGAATCCTTAAGTTCATTAATATTGAAATTTACGAGTGTAAAATTAATGTGAATTTATTATTCAAACAAGAAAGAATTTCATTTCAATTTAATGATTTTTAATTTCAGACAGTTTAGCTAAATTTGTAAAAAATAGTTTAATGAATACTTTTCTAAGATTGAAAAAGGTATCTTAATAAGAAAGAAACTAACTCATTTTGATAAATGTGAGACTGAACTTAAATAAAATATAAAAAAATAGTCAATTGCAGGCTTTCCAATAGTCAAAACCTATAAGTATCATTGAATTTTAATACCAAATCAAGGAAAAATTAATATGCATGCAGAAAAGCTAAATAAAACTATTTAGTATTTATAAACCAAATTATCCTGGTTATCAAAGAACATGAATTAGAAGTAAAAAAAGTAATTATGGTAAATATTTATATAACCCCACACATTTTTAACTGCTGTTCGGTCAATTGTTTAGGAATTATTGATAAAAATATTAAAGCAAGCATTCGATCCAGAATCTTTTTCAAGATTTCTAAATTCTTTTGCTATACTTGTTTTTAAAGTTCATTTCACTAAATTACAGTAAAATTTTAAACAACCTAATGGTTCTTTAAAATTTGATAGAGATTCAAACTCTTTTTCTCAATTCTTAAAGACTCTTAAACTTTCAAACTTTTTGAATAATCAATCAAATAAATTTGAGCACCATTTGATTTTTTATTTAATAGTTCTGGTTTTTCCTTTTCTCATCTTAAATCTGATCTATAATTTCTGTAATATGCATAATGATGAATTTAGTATAAAAGTAATTTTCTAAATTTAATTTAAAGGAAACAAAATCTTCAGTGCTAAGTGTGCATAATTATTCTGTCTGTTTAAATTTTTCTATTAATTCTGTTAGATGCCACTTTTGCCCTGTATTTTTTCTTTCTTTCTGCCATTTCTCATATATTTCATTCCAAGAGAGAATTTTAAGAGAATTCTTAGATTGATCTGGATTCTTCCTCTAAAGATTAGATTTCATCATTTTTACTACCTGACAGTTCATTACATCCCAGTAAATCTTAATTATTATTGCTGATCAAATTGAATTTTTAATTTTAAAAATCTAAAATTGGGTCTTTCTTGATTTCCTTTGAAAATATAGTCTTGCCTGCTCTTTCTTCTTTTCATCTTTTTAAGAATTCTCTTTGAAATAATCAATAAGGTAAAAAAGCTGTTTTTTTATGCTGATGCTACCAGATTTTGAGTTCGTTGCTTTCAATTAATATAATTTATATTAACCTTATTTATAATCCTTTTTTTTAGTTTTAACCTCATTTAACTAATGAATTAAAAATCCTTTCATATCCAACTACAATAAAAGCGATTGATGGAGCATTAGAATATGTTAAAAAAATAAATAGCTTTTCTTTCTCTTCATTTATGATCCTCTCTCTTAATTTATCTGTAACAATAATTCATAACAAAGTAATCTTTCATTTTAATTTTATTCTTATTTCCACTTAAATATTAAATCCAATTGGAAATTCAGGTGAGTTTTTGAGTATTTAATCATAAGTAATAATTGCCTCTTTGATTTTTTCATTGCCCAATTTCGCATATGCATGACCTATGTTTTGGATTTTGAATTTAATTTCTTTAGATGAAGAAGGTATCAATCCAAAGCTATTTCATAGATTTTAATGGCAGATGAATATTTCTTTTATTCAAAATAATATTTACCATCCCATATTGACTATTCAATCTTCCTTGTTGAGGATATTATTTAAATTTAATTATTTCTTGAAATTTCGAAAAAGCATTTTGTAGTCCATTAGTATTTAAAGCAAATGTTTAAGTCAAGGCTGCACAATAACTAAGAATTGTATTAATGGATACTGCTGAATGTTATACTTCTTTAGATAATCTAAATTTCATTTCTTTAGTGAATGCTTCTTTACCAAAAAAAGTAATGATTTTATAACATTCTTCAGGATTAGTTGCATTTTTGGGTTTATTCAAATTAATTTTTATTTTGAGTAGAATTGAATAGATCCTTTTTCTATTCATGCATAACTCCTCTATTTGATGGCATATGACTTGCCTCTGTTTATTATGATTATATGGCAGTCTTTCTCGATGGCTATGTTTTATCTGATGCAGGTAATTATGCCTAAATTGATTAAACCAGTATCAATTGTGTTTTACTCTGATATTTTCATTATCTACAAGAGTTTAAAACTTTTATCGGAATTTTTACCACTATTAACAAGTGAATTTATTTTAAATTTCTTTTCTCCAATGCGGTGATTAAAAATTATCCTTTTTAATTCTAATAAAGTTAAGAAAATTGTACGCCCAAAGTAAAACCATCGGTCTATATATCAAAAATTGAAGTAGTCGAATTCTTTTTATTTATTTAATCCTTTTAAATTAACATTTTTTCAATAAAATTCAAAGTTAGGCACAATCAAATAACATAAAGACAAATGTCCATTTTCTGGCGTAATGCTCAGCCTTACAAACTAGGGCATCTATTATTAAATCTAAAATAAATATACTTATCAACCAGCTTTTTTGTAAGTGATCTAATTTTGTAGAATTATATTAACTTGGAATATATTCTAAACATTTTAAATTAACAAAAATGCCGCTGTTCTAAATAAACTAATAAATTCCAATGATTTTCCTATTTATGTTAATAGACTCCAGAGTTATCAAGAAAATTTGATCAATCATCAAATGTAACAATAGACCCTGTCAATTTATTCAGCTTGGATAAAGATCAACTTAACTTGGTTATGATAACAATTTTCGAAAATATCAATTATAACCTTGGTTATCGCTTAAATAAGTTAAGAATTCAAAATATTGTTCTTATATTAAAGGTCTATAATAGTGTTATAATTAATGCTAGATAGAACCATATGAAAATGTTTCTTAATAGGTTTAAGGTTGAGCTTATACTGAAAAATATCTAGTTGTGTTTTTATGGGTAGGAGGTCTTTTGGAGTTAAATTGTAATAGTTATTTAACTATTTAAGGTTGAAGATAACAACATGATAGTGGTACACAACTATTCAAAATAAGTTCAAAACGTAACAACTATGATGCTAGCATAATTTGAGTCTTTTTTGATGATGCCTTTTATTGAAATGAAGTATATTAAATATAGCAGATCTTTATTGCTTTATTTTCAATCCATTATTTTCTCTTAAAGATTTCTAAAAGAATTTCTCAAAATTTTCTACAAAATCTCTTATTTCAAGTTGTTTGAATTGGCTGATAAAATTTTTTATTTGGTATTATTCTTTTTCAAAGTTTGATTTAACTTTTTAGTAATAATTTCATTGTTGATATCCTTTATGATTGATTATTTATTCTTCAACTTTTAAATTTGATCTATTTATAAATAATTAATCAAGAGTGACTTCCATAAAATTTAATATCCTCATACTAACAATATTAGAATAATATAGAAGAATTTTTTAATTTCCATTCAACTTTTAAAAGGTTAATAAATAAGGGTTAAATTTACCCTTAATATAAGTTATATTTCTGATTTATGTATAGAATGGTATATAGCTGAAATTAATATGCTATAAATTAATTATGTAGAATTTAAGAAAAATCACAAATGTATCTAAATCTATGTTTCTCATTGAATGATAATGACTTTAAAATGAAAGTGAAGTTATTACATATTACTATTTAATTGTTGGATTCCAAATATCAATCATTACAATCTACCTTATATATTCAACAATAAGTACTATTAGTTAAAAGAAACCTTTTTAATTAATGCATATATTAATTGAAAATGATTTCATTTTTGAAGTCTCAATATTTTCTTATTTTCTAAAAAATCCTTATATTCTATTTTTACTATCCTCTTTTTCTTAGAATTTAACACTATCGTATTATTTTAAAGTACTAAACAATATATTATATTAAATTTTAGTTTGTAAAGAATTTATTAAACGTATTTTTTCTTAACTCATTTTGAGCTATAGGAACAAAAGAATATTTCTAATGTTTCAAGATTTTAGATCGACTTTAATTATACTAATGATCTCTTAATCTAATCTTCACTTGTTAAGTGTTTGCAGACTTAACCTAACTAAATATTACTTTTGTTTTATAAGTTCCACATTTAGCTTTGCTATTAAATTTTAAGAATGATAATTATCATTTCTCACAAAATAAGGGGATCAAAATTGTATATGAACTCTCCACATACAATTTTTATGTTCTTTCACCGCAATCTCTAATATTTAACATCGATTAAATCAGTGATATAACTATAGAATATGTTAAATATTAGTGCTTTATTATTTAAGCAATATTATTAATGTTCAATTCATGTTATAATGCTCAGAAATTTAAAATTCCATATGTTTACCATTCATTGAAATTGTTATGTTGTCTGCATAAATTAAATTAATTCCCTTATCTTCTTCAATTCTGCTACTCTCCTCTCTCAAGCCTTAATTATAGTAGCTTTCATCCCTACTCTTTGATTGCATTCTTATTTAACTTTTTTTCAATCTCATTTATCATATATTGTATTGATTTCAGATCTTAATTATGTCTGTTAAAATACACTGTCTTACGATATTTTTTAATCTATCACACAATTTACAATTACTTCATCCTTCTCTTTTAATTGACTATGTATTTCTAGTCTTTCCAAAAATTTATATGAGTTTGGCAATTAAATCTCAGACTAAATCTCAATTAGTCAAAGTAACAAAAGTGCATTGATATCTTCTATGCCAACTTGTCTGTGATTCAGAAGTAGTATAATCCTATAAAATATAATCAATATATTAAGATCCAATTTATTTCCTTTATCAAAATGCTTTTTCACTCTGTTTTAATTTCTCCTAATATATAAGCATATATCAGATACATAATTAAAATCAATTTTTAGATTAATTATTCATTATAAACTATGTAAATAATTTATTAAAGGAATACATATACAAATTTATATATTATAAATATTGATTATCTAGAAATTATGGATAAATTGATATAAAGTTATTTATGATTTTTATTTTAGTTCCTTTTTAGTCTATTGGGATAATTGATGAACCTAATCTAAAAATTGTGAGATGCGTATATATTGAAGCTAATTGAAGTGATTTATATCTTCATTGAACTATTAATTAAATTATTGAACAACTGAATTTTTGACAAAAAATTAAGGTTACTAATAAATTTACAATAAAGAAGAATATTAAATATTTGTAGATGCAAGATGATATATCAAAATATTTTATTAATTAAATATAAAACATAAAAAGTTCAAGACCTTAGGAAATAATAAAATGATGAATTTATTAAAACTGTCATTGATTGAAGAAAAACATTGTGATTAAGATTAATGAAGAATGTAAGTATGGAGAAAGTAAAAAAGCAAAAGTTTTATCAACTCGTAAGTTCTTAAATTGAAGTTATTTGAAATAGGAATTAGAATTTATAAAATATAATTTGAATAATTTAAGAAGATTTATAAAAATGTTATATTTTAAAATAATTAAAGAAATATCTAAAATTAAAAATTTTTATGTAAATGTTTAATTAAAAAATAAAATAAAACTTTCATTTAATGTTTAACATAAAATATAAAAATTAAATTTGATAAATTAAAGTAATTTTATATCAATTTTTTATAAAAAAAAAATTAAATTTAATTGATAGCATAAAATTCATAAAAATTATTTTTTCTATAATTGAAAAATTTAATTTAGATTTACACTAAAAGAAGAGAATTCTATTTAAATACTTTATTATAATCTTTCTAAAACACTCTATAATCTATTTTCTGTTGGATCAAAACAACTTTTTTGTATAACTAAATAGTTCCTGATATCATCCCTTTATTTTACATAGCTTTTCAATAAATTTCCATATTTGTTATTTCTATTACAAAATGTATCTTACTTTAAGCCTTTTTTTCATTCCTCCTTTCCACTCATAATTAAGGCACTATTGACTGTTATTTATTGTAACCATAGAGTTTCTACATATTTGTTTACTTTTATTTTTCACTAATAGTTTTTTCTTTATGAAACAAAAAATGTAGATGTTAAGGTGTTTCCAATCTATAGGCTGTATCAATGTAGCTAATTACTTTATAAGTTATAATGTCCATATTCTCTCGCTTTCCATCAAATAGTAATAATATCTCTTTTATCAATTCTTCTAATAAAATGTCAGTAATTATCTGATGATGTAGTCATTAGACAATAAGTAGCAATTTTACAAAATTTTAGCATATCACATCGTTTTTTAGAATTAGTAAGTTTTTTAATACTGGGTAAAACTTCTTAACATTAATTTATATAACAATTATTAATTGTCCTATTCAAATAGCTGTAAGCTAATGATGAATCTATATTCTCTAAGAAAGGTTCTTAATACCTTTATTCTTAATAAAAATCCCATGTTTGACAAAATTCATTATTTTAAAAGATTTTCAATTT